AGATAGATAGATAGATAGATAGATAGATAGATAGATAGATAGATAGATAGATAGATTTAAAAAGAAATCAAAGAACCAACTCTCCATTTCTAATGAAGAAATACTTTTAAACTGAAGGAAAGAATATCCTAATGTGTCAGTCAGTGTGATTTACCTGAACCCCACCTCACTCTAGATTCTATGTGATAGCAGAAATGCTCACAACATAGACACATATCACCTGCAGCATAATATCTGGGGGGTACTGATCAGATATTATAAGATGCCTGTTTTTACTTGATACTTCAGAATCCCGGGGTAATAAGAGTGGGTGTGCATACTTGGGACTCTGCATTTTACATATGCCCTTGGGGTGATTTTTATAAAGGGCAGTTAAATCACTGCTATAATTGAACTCCCAAACCTCATGACTGGGCTATTTGGAGTCATAGTCTCAGAAGTTTTGATCCATGGTCACTTGACTGTGTTGCTGTAGGCTGGTGGTGGCATATTACATCATGGTGGGAATGTGTGGAAGAGAAGATTGCTCACTCCACAGTAGGCAAGAAGTAAAGGAAAAAAGAGAGAAACAGTGGAAGAAACCAGCATTCCAGCATCGCCCTGGGCACTCCCAGATTTCCCCAAGTTTTCTGTTACCTCTCAGGCTTGGAATCATGCCTTTGACACATACAGACTATGAGACATAAGTAGACCGCCTCAAACTTTCAGTCTTTTTGTGAGGAGGGTCAACATTTTATTAAATATTCTAATGGAAACATCCTTTTTATTTTCTCCTCTCCATAACACATAAGTAACTCACTATGTTTATGCAGTTTCATGTACATGAGGCTGAAATATCAATATCTACAAGCTGTTTCTCCTACCCTGCATCAGTAACTTATTTCTGCAAGTTAAAAATTTCCCCAGGATTTTTTATCACACAGAAGAAACTAAAGAAACGCACGATGTATCATCGCATGCCAAGAAAAACCGAGGTTCCCAGTAATTTCAGTCACTCAAAATGAAAGAAAGCAAGAGCTCCATAGCTATCAAAGAGTAAAGGAAGACACAATCCTCAAGCATTTTCTGTGGTAAAAGAACAAGAGATAACCATATTAGGCAGCAGATGTAATACAGGAAGACACTTTGACAAAGATGAAAAGGTGGAATATGACATGATAATAAAGAAGAGAGAAATGAGATTTTAAAATAACACTGTGTTCTCAAGTAACAGCAAGACTGAAGCCTATGCCCCCAGGTGGTCTGACTTTCCTCCATTAGCATCTATCAGCCTATGCATATACACAGAAGACTTGATCATCAAGAAAACAGCGTGTGTCTACTGATTATGATCACATATGGAATGTGTGATTCAGTCTCTTTTCTGGAAAGGTTTCCAAGAACATATAGAAACAGTCCATGAAGATAATCTAGAACCCCTGCACAGATGTAGCCCATGGCAGCTCAGTGTCCAAGTGAGTTTCCTAGTAAGGGGAACAGGGACTGTCTCTGACATGAACTCAGTGGCTGGCTCTTTGATCACCTCCCCCTGAGGGGGGAGCAGCCTTGCCAGGCCACAGAGGAAGACAGTGCAGCCAGTCCTGATGAGACCTGATAGACTAGGGTCAGATGGAAGAGGAGAAGAGGAGGACCTTCCCTATCAGTGGACTTGGAGAGAGGCATGGGAGGAGATGAAGGAGGGAGGGTGAATTTGGGAGGAAATGAAGAAGGGGACTACAGCTGGGATACAAAGTGAATAAGCTTTAATTAATATAAAACATTTCAATTACAATAGAAAGAGAAAATAAACGGTTCATTAATGTAAAAACTTGAATAACATTAAATGACCCAAGGCATTGTTCTTTTGTGCTATGCGTTTCAAGGTGCTTCTTGACTTTACTTTCATCTCTTTTCCTACAGTGATTATCTGTGTTGTGAGGCTTCTCATCTGGGGGAGCAGCTCAGGGGTAGATCATGTGTTTACCAGGTGTGAGTCTGTGGGTTTAACCCTGCCCATGGTAAAAAAACAAAAACAAAAACAAACAAAAAAAAACAAACAAAAAAAAAAAACCAAGGGTGTGAGTCTGTGGATTTAACCCTCCCCATGGCAAACAAAAACAAACAAACAAACAAAAAAAAAAAAAAAACAAGGGGAAGGAGGGAAAATCACAACATGATTTCTACTGCTTAGCATTGGGGACGGGGAGGGGAGTGTTTGTTGTGCCAGAGAAAAGAATTTTTTTTTTTTTTTTTCCAAAGGCAGTCATCACTCTTCAGCAGTCTGTTCTCCAGTGACCCAAGGAAAGTATTTGCACAACACCTGGCAGGGTTAGGCACACGTTGTGGTCAAAAGTAAAATGATACATTGAATGTAAATAAGATATAGCTCCCCCTTTGAAAACTCAGAACTCTAAGGATCTGATAGACTTCTGGTGCCTCTGCACACATGGAGTCGTGAGGATGTTCTCACGATGCTTTTGCTTGCCTTGCTGAAGAAAAGCACAAATGGCTGTGCTTCCCAGAATCAGAGATGGGAAATTAAGCATTAATATCAGAGCAATCCACACAGTTAAGTCAGATGTTGGCAACTTTAAATTTATTTTATAGGATATCACAATACCCCAAACTCTTAATATTTTATGGAAAATCTTTGCTAAAAAAATAACTTGCAAAAACAGTTAATTATTTGTATGCAGCATGGGGGAAAAAAGAAATGCGTTTTTCATACAGAGCCTTGTAGGTAGCTTTCCATAGTGGTTTTATTTGTATTATCCAAGTGCCCCTTAACAAAAAGTTGGCAAACCCACACAACAGAGAAGTGCTCTGCAGGGAAAAGGGAAGGAACCGTTGATAATGCAGCAACTTGGGTCAGCCTCAAATAACTGCGCTAAGTGAATGAAGTCAAGCAAAACGAATATGCAAGGTATTATACCATAATTATGTAACATTCTTGAATTTTCAAACTCAACTTGAGTGAAAGAAGGAATATTAGTAATTGCCTAGGCAAGAGTTAGGGGGACAATTAGGGAAGAATTGGGGAGAGAAAATTACAAAGAATGGCTAGGAGGTAATATATATTTTTAGGCACCAGGAGTAGTGATGGCTGTGTGGATACATACACGCACACATATGTGTGTGTGTGTACATATATATGTACATGAATATATGCATACACATACATATTACATGGATATATATTTATAAACTGCATATTTAATATACATGTAGTTTATTATGTGTCAACTCCATGCCAATAAATTGATAAAGAGAAATAACCCAAGTTACTCCCTTGCATGTATTCTCACCTCCCTTGGTCCTCCCTTTTTTATGGCACTAGATTGGAAAAAGCACAATGTCAGCCAAATTTATTCATATGCCGGTACAGTTACACATGGCTGGCAAAAATAAGCCAACGTTAACTAGTAACACCTGAGAAGAAGCTGTTCTGTTAAATAATGTGGGCAATACAAAACCAATCATTTTTTTAAAAAGGATGTATGTCGGGGTAGCAAGATGGCTCAGGCTTTAAGGGCATTTGCTGCAACAGGAAAACCTGACTCCAGCTCCCAGGACCTACCTGTTAGGAGAGAACCAACTCCTAAGAGCTGTCTTCGGACTTCCACACTCAGGGAATGGCTAAACCTAAGCAACCTGTATCCAGTTTCAAAGAGTGGATTGTCCTTTGTCTAATAAGTTTGGGGGCTGGCAGCACAAGGCCCCTAACAGGATTTGGCTCTCTGCCAAAGCATTGCACTCTTTTGGAAATGAACTTTTCACTGGCTCTGATGTCTCATCCCAGCATCTTTTCTCTCACCTCTAGCTAGAAGACGAAATTGCCACATTACGGCAAGTTTTGTCAGCGAAGGAAAGACATCTGGTTGAGATCAAACAGAAACTCGGCATGAACCTGATGAACGAGCTAAAGCAGAACTTCAGCAGGAGCTGGCATGACATGCAGACCACCACTGCGTGAGTATATCCACAAAGCTCCCATCCGTTAGAGTCTGCTGATGAAAACTCTTCATTCCAGGAGCCAAGGGTGTGTGGAGCTCAGCTGCTGGAGTGCCCGCTTGCTTAGATACAGGGAGTCCTCGGTTCAGTCTCCAGCATTGCATGGAGGTGTGATGGGCTTTCTTTCCCTTCTAGCATTAGGAAGGTAGAGGTATGAGGATCAGAAGTTCAAGGTCATCCTCAACTACATACTAAGTTAGACACCAGCTTGTGAGACACAGGACCCTGCCTCAAAAAACAGCCAACCAACTGAAACTCTAATTACATTTACACTTTTTTGTTTCATTTATAAGCTCTATTATAAAAATTTTTGAAAACAAAATCACACCGAAAATCATCAGACCCAAAGTCTGTTTATCTCAGTGAACTTCTATCCAGTTAGTACAGTCATTTGAAGAAGAAGCCATGTACACTGGATTTTATACTTGTACTGCCAAATATCGTTGTATACGTTTATCCACCACCAAAACCAAAAATTCTGTGACAGAGTTAGAACTAGATAAGCAAGCATAGTTTTGAATGTATCTTCTTTCATAACTTGTGCCCATTATCAGCATTCAGTCCTTCCTTATCCCCTAACATTTATTCTTTCTTTGTTACACCCAAACATATTTGTTTTGGGGTAAATTCTGAAGATAAAGGAGAACATAAAGTATTTTTATTTCACAGATTGTGTGACCTCATTTAATATTATACATTTTAGGTCTGCCCATTTTCCTGCAAACTTTGTGATTACATTTTTAATGTTTAGGAGCTATTGAAACAGATTTCCACAATGGCTATATTAATTTGCATGCCACCAAGAGAGAAAAAATGTGGCTACCTCTCCATATCCTTTCCAATATGTGTTGCCAGATTTGTGGATGTTAGCCATTCTGACTGGAGTGAGTAGGTATCTCAAATCTTCTGTGAATGGGCAGAAGTTTCCCAGGAAGTCAGGTGCTGCCTCTTTGCACACTTGTTATGACTTTTCCTGATTCTATAATCTTGGTGATTGTCAATTTTCATGAGATGGAGAGGCCGTGGCGGCATTGGGATGGGACTTGGGAGGGGGGGGGGCGTATGGGACTTCTTGAGGATTAAAATAGTCTCCTTGCCAGATGATCTTACATGAAAAAGGTTTTTACACGTAAGATTTTTCTTCTTCTTCTGTAATGAATATTAGTAGCTGATGGTAAATCTGAAGGACATCCTGTTCAAATCGTTAACTTTAGCCATCGAGATGGCTTAAATTCAGCCATTGAGAATTTCTTTGCCTTTGAGTTAGGCATTTCTTTCCTGCTTCATTCATTAGGATGTAAAGACACTATCTTCACCTATGTCTTATACCTGTGGGAATCAGTTTTTCCCTCTGTAATTATTCGCTCCTGGCCTTAGTGCCTGGTAGTAAGAAGTACCAATGATTGACAGCAATTATTTCCATTTTTTTGTGAGACACTAATGTTACCTGCCAGTTATTAAGCACTGATGCCCAAGACCTTTTGGTGCTGTGTGAAGATGCCCTCCATATGAGGATCCCTAGAGTAGCTGCTTTGGTTTCCATGGGAACAGTTATTTCTCTTCCCCTTGCAGTGTGGCCCATCTGCCTTTCTATGTGTGTGCACCAAAACTTCACCTAGCTAGGACAGAGGAGGACAGGATAAAGTCAGGGGTCTTCAAAGTTTCTCTCCAGAGGCTAGCTAAGTATCCTGTCCTCGTCAGATGAAGCTGCAGAAAGAGATTATGAACCATACAACTGTGCTGTGTGCATCAACGTAAAATAAGTACTGCAATAACTCCATCTGAGCAACCTCCAGAAAAGGACAGGAGTGTTAGGCACTAAACTAAATAATTACCTATCAGCAGTCTGGGCTTCTGTTTTTGCCCTTTGGTGACCAATACCAGTGAGTTTCCCTGACAGTGGGTGGCTGAACACCCTCCAGTTCCCTGGGTCTTGTTGCCTCTGCATTTAATTTAGGTCTCTTGGCCTCAAGTCATACTGATCTGAAATTGCCTCTGGAGTGTAGGAATAGGAAGGATTGTTTCATCTGGCCTCCTTGATAATTTCAGGAATTAGATGACCAGGTATAGACAGAGTAGTTTATGGCGGAGGATTGGGAGAAAGAAGAAGAGGAGGGAATAGCTGTGTAAGGTGTGTGTATAGTGTTAAGCTGTGAAGGGGGCAGTAAGAGGTGATCAGTATATGTCTCCTGGAATGTGGAGACTTCTAGGAATTCTCTATTCATATGGGGAAGAGTGAGTATTCTCTGTTTTTCTCATGTTTGAAAAACAAATTGGTGTAGCCAAACAGTCTAGTTGGTGTAAAATAGCACAGATTTAGTCCCTGGGTTTATGGAGTTTACAATATAATCAGAGGTTTTTTTATGAATAATAACTACAGGGCACTGTGGGAGTGTGAATCAGGACAAGAGCTTTGCCTTAGGATATTGCCACTCTAGGGAGTGTGGAAAGCAGGGTTTCCAAAGAGTCCTCAGAACGTAATCAGTCCTAGAGAGACAGGTGGTGCCTCTTGAGGATGACACATACTGATGATGGCTCAGCAGGAAAGAAGTTTCTGCTCATAAGGAAAGCATCTAGTTCATGTGCTTGGCTTGGAGGAAGGGCAAGAGTTGTTAGTTAATAAGAGTTATCTTTCTTCTGCAGGGACTAGAAAGCCATTAAAGGGTCCTAACCACTCATTTATCCAACAAGTGCTAATGAATGTCTACTATTAGGCACTTACTATCTACAGACTTCAGGATAATAGGATTGACAAGTTGCCTACTTTTTATTCTGTGCTGAAAGGAAAAAAAAATAAGCAAGAAACAATGAAATAAACAAAAGAGGAACTGCCAGGGAGGAATTACCAGGATCTAGGGAAGAACTTACAGGATGAGAAAAGGTTGATGCAAAGATTGGAAGGCAGGAACTAGTTTTTCCAGCTTTCACAAAAACATCACTTAAGAAAGTGTAAAGTGTATGTGTGTGGTGTGCTGAGATGAGAGCACCATCACTGAGGCTTCTTGGGAAGGTGAGCATGTAATGCCAAGGGCTTAGATGCTACTGGAATGTTTGGAGCATGGCATGGCCTGGGTGGACATACATTTATGAATCGTTTCCATTAGATTATGGAGTAGATTGTGGAGAGGGGTATGGGCGTTGGGATAAAGCTACAAAAGGCACCTTTGGTGATCACATCATGTAAGAGATCTAGAGCAAGAGGTTTATTGGGGGAGGGAAAAGAGCAAAAGGTCATCTTGGAGTGGGGACATGAGAGAGTGATAGAGACAGACAAGAGAATGAATAAGACAAAGTGAGTGGGAGAGAAAAGGAGAGAGAGAGCAAGCGTGCATGAGCAAACGAGAGTGATCCTGGGTGGCCAAGGCCTTTTATGTTCTGCACCTGGCAGTTGTGGGTGATGACATAAGCTGCTGCTGCTGAGTCACCGAAAGGCAGATTGGCAGAGCACCTAATTTACAACAATGGGTGAGAACTGGAAAGTCATATATGAGACTATTATAAGCAAGAGTCACGTAGAGGAGGAGAAGGATTTGGAGGTCAGTGTGACAGGAGGTCCCAATGGGTTGGAGGTAAATGATGAGGGAAGCAGAGTGAACGAATGTGATTTGGTTGATGCTTGGACTACACAGTACCCATTCTGTTAACCTCAATGTCAGTTGAGCATTGCTGTTAAATCTCATGGGCTGCAGATATGACAGCCTGGATTCTGTGTTGTGACCATGTCAGTAACAATGTCATAGGGAGGGAGGATTTAATGAGTTAAATATTGTAGGTAGATGATGTCTGATGCTTTGTTGGCCTGCTGGGACTCTGCTATCATCAGGAAGATTGATACACAGAAGTAGAACTGACACTCAATGACCTGTCTTGATCATGCCTGAACCACCCCACAAGCAAATTTTAGTCTGAGAGGACAACTTGAGAAAAGTTAAAGGCAGAAATGCATGCGTGTGTGTGTGTGTATGGGTATGTGTAAGTCATTTGCCCATAGATATCATGGAAAACTTTAGGCCCTAGAAATTATTTAATAAGTCCAGTGACTGTGATCTCACTAACTTTTAGGAATGAAGTTGATTAGTACCAAAGAGCCAACCCCTTACTAGTAAGAGAGATAAGTTTATTAACCATATAATTTTAGGAGAAAGTTTTCCACTAACCTTATTTATTTGGCTGCTGAGAGAAAGTGGGGGAAGGGGCTTATTAATCATTTATTGGAAGGAGTGATAACAAAACTGTTTCTCCCTGAATTAAATACCGTTCTGTGAGGGCTCATGACTCCCGTTCTAGCACATGTTCTATATCTTGTAGGATGAAAATGTGGAGATGAGAGAATGAGGAGCTGTGGCAAGTTAGCTGAGAAGAATTAGACTTCAAAGCACTGAAAAGAATTTCAGCTCTCAGAGAATGTGTGTGACTCCCAGAGATGACACTTTGCATAATGATTAGGCAATCATGACCTATTTAGTTTGATTTATAATGAAAAGAAAATCTATGGTATGCTAATGAAAGATCTTGGCATTTTTTTTTTTTTTTCAGAAATAGGATTGAAATTGCCATAGGACCCAATGAGTAAGAATAATTACATAATGGACTCAAACTGTCTCCTTTATAGGAATAGTTCAGGAACACAGAAGCAGGACAAGGGGTCATCTGTGTGTGTGGGGGGGGGGGTGATTAAGTTGTTCTTGCTCTTTTCTATTTTGTTCATACCTAGACTTCTTTTATCGTCTTTTGGGCTTCAAGAGGGAGGGTGCAAATGGGTGGCTTATAGCCAGTATACTTGTTCATTCAATGTTCTTCTTTGTGAGCCTATTAAAAAAAAAAAAAAAAAACTCTCCCACTAATAGACCTCTGTGTGTTGTGTTACAGGTCTAATGGTAGAGGGTAGGAGGTTTTAAAAGGGAATTTTAACTCCTCCATCTTTTATGAAAAGCACAATAACTAAGCTATACATAAAGAATGAGGCCTAACCCCGCAGCATTTCAGAGATGCACAGTGCTTGAAAAGTGAGGTTCAGTTTATGATTGATTTACTCTTTGCTGGTGGGCTCATTTTTTTTTTCAGGTCCAAGTGATACTTGTTTCTCTCTGTGAGGAGTGCTTTGTAGCTCTGCTTCATCAGAAGTCTCAGTGATGACTAAAGGCCTAATATTAAAAGCTGTGCACACCCAGTCTCCCATGAAGCTAGTTCTCTGTACCTTCAGGATGCTATTGTATTATACAAACCAGGAAGTAGATTCTTTTTTTTCCCATACAGAAGTGGTAAATTTATATTTTAATAATATACTCAGGATGCCTTTGGAAGAAAATGATCCTAAATGGTTTTGTGTGTATGTCCTCGGTGAGATGTTGAAATATCATTATTAAGGGAATGCAACCACTTAAATATCTTCCTAGGGCACATATATTCATGCTGTGTAATATCTTGTTTTTAAAAAAAGTTGATGTTTCTAGTTATAAGTAGAAAAATGCTTACATCCAAATCACATGCTCATCTATCATTTTGATTATTACCTCTGCCTTTTAAAATTGTGAATCACGTGGATGATGTGAACTATCAAGGAACCCATGTAAGAAGTCAACAGAATTCCTTTTACTTGTGCATGGAGAAGATTCCCCCAAGGAGATCTACAAAAGATACCCTAGGTACTGGCCAAACACCTTAACATTTCCACCAGGTTCACTCCATTTAAGACCAAGTCCAACTGGGACTTCACCTAAAATTACAGACTCTGGACAATGTAAAACCCCTGAGGCGCCCTTCATGTAGGCTGTGCTCTAAGTGGTGCTCCTTGGAGCTTCTAAGTACTCCGAGTTTAATGGCCTATTTCTCATAGGCCCTTGTTTGCTATGGTGTTGGTAATCACTTCCCACATATAACTCCCTCTTACTGCCTACCCCTGGAGATCTTTTTTGCTTATTGGTTCTAAGCATCATGCAAAATGACTGCTAACTATTCTTAAGAAACAGTTTGCCTAACGAAGAGGTGGGAAATGAAACACGCACACATACACACCTTAGAATTGTGTGTGTGGTGTGTGTGCATTTGCGTGCATGGTCGATTGTGCATGTTTGCATTTGCACGAGGAGGCGAGAAGGCAGCCTCAGGTGGTGTTCCTCAGGCCCTGTTTATCATCTTTGTTTTGAGACAGGGTCTTCTACACACCTGAAAGTTCTTAAAATACAGCGTTATTATTTTCCTGTGTGGAACCGGAGCTATGAAAAGCAGACCAAACTCACCTCGGTGTCATCTCCATGGCGACAGGCCATTATGTCACTGTGGAGCCACAGCACTCTTCCTTGCCTCCATTCATCATGTGTAATCTAAAGGACTCAGCTCTAATGGCCTTCAGATTTAACATTAAGGGATAAGGGCCCCAAATTCAATTCTTGGCACCACATATATGCTGGAGAAAAGCAGAACAAATGAAAAAAAAAAAAATGGAATTACAGCTTATTTCTAGAAATAAGGAGTCCTGGAATCCTTACTGAATTGAGCCAAGCACAGGCTGCACTGGGCCATTGAAAGTAAAAGTGGGAACTGACATGCATTTTTCATCGTTGCTACATAAATGCCATTAACACAAAGTCAACAGATCTTTGTGTGTTCCCAACCTCCCATTTTTGGGAGTGCCCTGAAAACAATGTAACACTTGCCGCTTACAATATGACCTTATTTCTAGCCAGTTTTAAATTTAATGATCAAATTCAGAGTGTCACACATCTCCAAAAAAAAAAAAAAAAAAAAAAAAAAAGAATCTCTTACCTCAAAATTCAAAGCCTTCTCAAACACAGTGTAGACCAGCTTTCAGTAGAAGTAAACACGCAGGCTTACTGCAAGAAACTGCTAAAGCACCACCACACCGACATCAGAAGGAATTTTCTAGTAGCCTAGCTCAGCCTCCTGTGAAGATCACAGCTGTTGCACCATTTTCCTCCGCTTTCTTTGTAGTATCCTTCAGGCCACTTGAGTCAGGGCCCAGTGGCTTCCCACTAGATATTCTTCTCTCAGTCTCCCATGACGGCTTTTTCTTCCCTTTCCCTGCCTTCCTGGCTAGGGCTTAACTCTTTTAGGCTGGCATTCACATGGCCAAGGCTCCAAGGTGCTGTCTATGGCCCTGTTGGACAGAGAAAGGTGGTTTCTAGTCTTCCTTAGAGCGCAGTCTTTTTAATCCGCCAAAGTAGAACACTGACGTTAGCCTAACGCCTTTCTTGCCAAACTTGATGGCATCACAAAGCAGAACAGTTAGAGCAGAGTCGCCCAAGTTATGTGGGGCCCAGTATCTTTGGGGAGTAGTGAGGGGGCTAGGTGAGCTGAAGAGGCAGAAGGAGGAGTGGGTAGGCTGAGGGATCAGTTTGTCTCAAGCCACGAGAGGTTGGTGCATACGGACTCTGGATTTCTCTGTAAGTGAAATGAGAAGCTGGTGAAGGGTGTGAAAGAAAGTGACAGACTCGGCTTGTTTTTATTGGCTCTTCCTGGCTGTTGAGTTGAAGAGACACTGTAGAGAGAGAAAGGTAGAAATGGGATGTTAGGACATTGTTGTGAGAGCCCAGGTGACAGATGGTGCCAGAAGAAGTAAAGAGCAGTAGAAGTGGTGAGAGAATTGACAGGGTCTAGTTTCTACAGTGAAAATGGAAATGATTCAGGAGGGTTTCGTGATGGATTGGACATGGAAGAAAAAAGGTCAAAGGTGGTGCTGGTCTCTCATCTAATGGATTGTTTTCATTTCCTTGCCACTATGTGTGAGAAATTTTACATAAGAAAAATTGTTTTTTGATACTTTTTTTTTCAGAATTCGACTATCAGTATTAAAAGGGAAAGTTCTAGAATAAGCTAAACCCTAGTACATGAATGTGTCTCTCGTACATACTGTACAGTGCTTCCCTTTTCTCCACAATGCCCTCATTCTGTTTTTGAGTCTAATTTTTATGGATCTGGTTTTATGGCTCCATGACTACTTTATGAAAACTCTTTCAGGATCCTAGAAATCTGAGCAGGAAGTCTAGGGTTTGTTTGTTTTTTTCCTTGACTTGTTTGAAAATACATGCCTTTATGCCCTTATTTTCATAATTTTCTTTTTTAATATGTGTGTGTGTATGTGTGTGCATAAAACTGGAGGAGTTCTAGGTGGTTGTGAGCAGCCTGATGTGGGTGCTGCCTGATGTGTGTCTTCTGCAAGAGTAGTGCATGCTCCTACCCACTGAGCCATCTCTACAGCTTCAATACTCTTATTTTTAAGACCAAAGGCATGACATCTAAACGCTGTTGTGCCCAGCTCCCTTAGTGTTCAGTATACTACTTTTGGATTCTTTTGAGTAGCTGGTTTGTTCTGAAGAATCTCAGCGCATGCCACTTGTGATTGGAGAGCTCTTAAAGTCTTGTGATAATGATTGATATTTTTATTCCTAAGGTTTTACATTTAGTGCTAGGGTAACTTCCTTTTTATCAGCAGAAACTTGCATTTTAATATTTTATATCATGCATAAACTGCCTGAATTTTTTATATAATATTTTATATCGTGTATAAGCTAAGGTTTCAGGGGGTCATAGTTTTACCATAATTAAAACATAAAACTGTGTGTGTAAAAAATAAAATTATACTTTGAGTATGCTATTTTCAAACCTCTTCAGAAAGAAATAAAGTTAGACAGATTTTTCTTCTTTGGTATGTGACCTGTCACCAGCCTGGGCTCATCACATACAATCTGTTCTTCAGAAACATAAAAAAAAAAAAAAAATCCAGATGAATAAATTATCTATAAAATATTTTTGAAATTTATAGGTTCTCAGCTAGGAAAGAATGAAAGTTAAATTCAAAGGTCTTAAGTATGGCTGGTTGCTATTTTAACATTTTTATTTTAAATATTAGCATCTAAAAAGAATATTGTTTCTATGTAGCAACCTTTCACAGCAAATTTTGTTAATTGTGATAGAACTTTCTGCTCTAGTCTGGCGAAGTCAGAAGTCTGGCGAGGGACTTCAACCAGACTCCAGGACGAGGGAGGGGCTCCTTGTCTTTCTACCTTGCTTCACTGCTTACTGCTCACTGCTCTGGTTGGCAGCGTGAACCTGGGAAAGTGGAGGGACTAAGGTTAAGATGGACTGAAGTCTCAGGCAATAGCCAACTCTCTCCAGAGCATCCGACAGTAAATACTCAGAGGGTAGAGCCATCCTGAGTAAAGTGTAAATCACAAGGGAGCCACACGTGGCGGCAGCACGTTTTTTCACAGAGGCACAGGAATAACAGCTGGAGTAAGCTCGCTCCTGTCCGCTGCACCCCGCAGGAGCATGAAAACACATGCCACGAACAGTTCTGTGTTCTGAAGAAGCTGAGGTTACCAGACTGTCTTAGTTAGGGTTTCCTTTGCTGAGAAGACACACTGTGACCACACCGCTCTTATAAAGGAGAACATTTAGTCGGGGCTGGCTTACAGTTCAGAGGTTTAGTCTGTTTTTGTCATGGGGGGAAGCACAGCTGCACACAGGCAGACATGGTGTGGAGAAGAGCTGAGAGTTCTCCATCCAGATCCATAGGCAGCAGCCAGAGAATGAGACATACTAGGCCCAGCTTGAGCTCCTGTGACCTCAAAGCCCATCCCCAGGGACCCCCTTCCTCCAACAATGCACACCACTGCAACAAGACCACACCTCCTAACAGTGCCGCTCCCAATGGGCCCATGGGGGCCACTTTAATTCAAACCACCACACAGGACTCTTATTTTTTTTCTTGGAGTTTTCTCATAGGCACTCAGAATTCTCACGTGACTCCATTCTTGGCCTTTGTTATGACTCTTAACCAATGGTTCCCTTTTATTTCTAGGTACAAGAAGACGCATGAAACCCTGAGCCATGCAGGGCAGAAGGCCACAGCAGCTTTCAGCAATGTGGGAACTGCCATCAGCAAGAAGTTTGGGGATATGAGGTAAGCCCGAAGACAAACATGGGAACCCTGCCAAAGAGTATTGTGTATTGGTCGGATGTTCTTTCTTTAATGGATAAAAACATTGATGGTTGACAGATAAATTTTCATGTTGGGATATTTTCTGTTTGAAGGTCAGTTTAGAAGCCTGGCCCCAACCATACTCTTTCTACCAATGAAAGCAGAAGTTAGAGGGAATGAAGAGGGGTCGCAGAACAGTCTAGCACACAACGAACCTGACTGGTTTTGTTAGTTTACTTTTCTCTTTGCCGTGAACAGAAAATCTGACAACGGCAGCTTCAGGAAGAATTCATTGTGTTCCATGGTCTAAGCATACAGTCCATCCTTGCCAGGAAGTCATGGCAGCGGGGGTTTGAAGCAGCTGTACACACTGTGCCCCTGGTCAGGAAGCAGAGAGAGGTGAATGTTGGCACTGCCCTTTCAGTCCTGGACCCCAACTCGTGGGCTCCTGGGTCTTCTTCCAGTTAGGCCTATCTGGAACCAGCCTTGTACACACAGCCAGAGACATCTTGCCGTAGCAATTCTCAATCTAATCAAATTGACAGTGACTATCAAGCATCAATATGTTAATTTGAATTACACAGGAAAATATACAGAGGAATCTGTAGGTTACATTTTTATATCCGGCCACCTGGTATATTTTATATTATAAAATGATACTATTTGGTTTATACTTCTGGTAGTTTTCTTTCTTTCCCTTACCAGTATATTGAGATACATTAATAATTTTACACCTTCATTCTTAATAACTGAACTATCATGTAGTATACACCGGCAGTAAAACCTTTAAGTAACTACCCTGCATGTTATATTTGTCAGTTTACAGAGCACCAGGAAGGACCTGAAGATAGATTTTGAACTAAATCCAACATTCTTACTGCAGAAACAGGGAAAACAGTGTTGTATGGGTTATTTTAATTTTTTTATATTATATGTAAGGGAAATGTCTCACATTGTTATTATTGAGTAATACATACACATATTACATATATGTATTAAACAATACATATTTGTGTTGTTTAAATGCCTGTCAATGTATCTTGAATTTTGCTGGTGTGGCTTAGGAGATCCTTCTTCAGAAATCAATTTCATTTTTCTCTTAGAAACCAATTTCTTTTCTGGGACAAGGTTTCTCGGTGTAGCTCTGGCTATCTTAGAGCTCTCTTTGTAGACCAGGCTGGCCTTGAACTCAGAGATCCACCTGACTCTACCTCCCTAGTGTTGGGATTAAAGGCATACACCACCACCACCTGGCCCAGATTAATTTTTTTTTAAGTTGGCAAGCTTTAAGTTTCTCCTTTTCAAAAACCATGTGCATGTTTATGTTATAGATTTCTTAAACTATTATTTCTCTGAAGCTTGATACCAAGAAACAAATATTCATGTCTTTGTATTTAGTTGTTTTACATCAAAATTTGTTGGAATATGCCTTGTATTCCTGAACCATTTTAACTGGATATTCATGTTAATAGAGTTGATTACAGATATGTACATGAACACTCTGCATTGCTTTACCTGCATTTTTATTAATACCACGTCATAAAAAGACAGTGAAAGCCTTTAGAGGCAGCATATGATTTAGTATCTTTAGTTCCTCCTAATCTTATTATACGTTTGCAGTGGTATCGAACCCCTTATCTGAACAAATATCCCTTATACAATATCCCTTCTGCCGCTTATTTATGAGAAAACATATTTGGCCATGTTTATAAACTTTGTTCTTGTCAAGCTTTCTCTTGAACTCTAGGACCTTACCCAGCAGTGCCAAGGAGTGCTCCCCCATCTTTATGAGTCTGTGCAAACATCTCTCAGGCCCTTAGAAAGTGTGTTCTTCCAAATTGGGAAAGTGATTCCCTTATCAACTGTGGATGACATCAGCATTTGCTAAGCTCAGTGGTGGAAGATTTCCTCTTGGGCTCTTAGTTTCCATCTAATGACAGACAAAGGGAGGGGAACTCCAGCAGCAAGATCACCGGGGTATTACAGAGCATGGCCCAAATTATGCATTTAAGTGCCAGTTTAATCTTTGTTATATGGCCATCTCAAGGTGGTCCTCACATGGAGAAAGTCAGGATTCACCTATGATTAGGATCCATTTTGTTTCCTAAAGGCTCCTCCTGTTTCTCTAAATATTGAGGGACACAGGCTGTTGCACATAGGTGGTGTTCCTGTTCATACTGCAGTAGGCTCTGATACCCACTTGTCAACTGCCTTTCCTCCTGTTTTAAATTGCTTTGTTTTAGCACAGTGCATAACTCATTTCCCAGGGGTTCCAGGCTATGCATTAATTACAACTTCCTATACAGATACAGTTTTCATTGTGGAGTGCCTAATGTTAGCACACTACAGTTAGGTCAGTAATAAAGCAACTGCCTGGCATTTATGAGGTCTGGCATTCTAGCCTCATGACGTTCAAACAATTAGTGACTAAAAATCCTGGGAAATGTAGTATATGTTTCTAGAGATTCAAATAGAGTTCTGAAAATTTTTATAAAGGTGGAAAAATTTGTCAGGGATGTATTTCTAGTTTTCATCAAGTATTACAAAGACTTTGTAGTTTTAAATTTTACTAAAGCAAGTAATATGTAGTTGTTATTCAAAAATTTCTCCAGGTTAATGTCCTCAAGTGAGAAAAAGAAGTTTTACATTTTGTTTAAGCTAATGTGTCAGTTTACGAAATGACAGTAGGAAATGTTAAAATGTTAGCACTGGTATTTTACTTCAGACTTTCTGTTGTTTTAAAGTATGCTGTTATCCTGTATGTGTATTCATTACACTATAGAATTCTCCTGTGCATTCCAGGACCAAATTGATGACCATTTTCAGTCTTTCTCCACTTGTAAATAGCATTAATAATACTTGTCCCACCTGTGTATTAAAGTCACATCCATGTAGTGAACTCTGAGGAAGTGTAAAGTCTTGGGATGGTTTTTTATAATAACATTGACATCCTCTCAGAATGACTCAGTGAATCTGTTCAGGCTGATCCAATGGGGACAAAATGTTCAGAGGAAGCATATAATGGAGTCTTTCCATTAATGCACTGCTATAGGAAAAAGCAATTAGAAGCAAAATTTTAATGGCGTGTTGGACAAAAATCGTTAAGACACAGTAGAAACTTGGTATCATCCGCTGTTGTTTCTGCATCTGTGGACCTCACCAGCCACAGGTTGAAAATGTTTTTTTTTTTTTAATCCATTTTTATTGAGCATGTACAGATTTTTGTGCTAAGATTCTCTAACTAAAGAGGCATCACACATGCTGTATGATTTACCCAGTGTTAGGTATTAAAAATAAGTAGAGAAGCCATGTGCAAACACTGAGGCACTTCAATCCTGGGATTTCAGTACCTATGGGGATCCTGAAACCCTGTTCCCTCAGCATGCACAGGAAAGAGGGTGGTGTCCGCACAGAACAAACAGTCAATGAAGCGGCTTAAGCCTTTTTTTTTTCGAGCTCTTACAAAGGAATAAAAGTCATAAGGGGACGTGCCTTCCAGTCTGTGCTAACTCTGTCCTGCTCTTCTCTCCCACGCTGCCTGGCTGCAGATCTCACTCTATTGGGTAAGCATGCCATGTTGCGTCTGTGAGGCTGCCTGAGATGGCCTGCAGCTGCTGCCTCCCCCCAGTGCTTTTCTGTCCTACCCATGGCTCTCAGCTCCCTTCCTGCTGGGCCACAACCAGAAAGACAAACCATTTTCTGGAGCATGCTCATAACAAGGAAGATGGCAGTTGTGCAGTGCCAATCCATTGCAGTTCACAGAACCACTTGTGAAACGTCTTCACCAGTTTCATTGGCTAAACAGTCTCTTACAACGAGGTCTCTTCTGTCGGTGCAATTTCTTACTACACTGACGTGGTCCTAAGAATTCAAAGATGTAAAAAGAAATTAGGAATTGAGAGGTTTTTGTTTTGTTTTGTTTTGAATAAGACTTGCAGAATGTGAAAATATGTGATTTCCATATTTTGAAGTTAGAGGGAGAAAATTAGTAGAAGTTTGTGGCTTTCAGCCTGAGGATTTCAACCTAAGCCTTTTTTTTTTTTTCTGGAATCGTAGTATGAACGTAATCCACCCTCACCCCAGGCCACTCCTACCCCAGATTATATTTAATGAACTGCACAGGTTGGTACTACCAGATTTCCTGTAGTAGTGTGTTTTAAATGCAAAATTTCTATATAGGGTATTTGGGAGGCTACTTCCTGGATGACTTTTTGACATTTCAGTGAAAGGCTGCTCGCCTTAATGACCTTAGCTAACAGTTTGGCGACGGGGTGGTGGTGGTGACAGATTGTATCCAAAACCTATTAGCTTCTAGGGCAGTGGATCTCAACCTCCCTAATGCTGCAACCTCGTGTTGTGCTGGCCCCCAACCATAAAATTTGATATTTCACAACTGTGATTTTGCTGCTGTTTTGAATTGTAATGTAAATATCTGTGTTTTCAGATGGTTTTAGGCAACCCCTGTGAAAGATTTATTTGAACCCTCCCCCCCACACACACACACACCAAGAGGTTGAGCCCCAGAGGTTGAGAACCGCTGTTCTAGGGAGAAGAGAAAATGCAGGGTCTGCGTTTAAAATGTTGCAGGAGAGTAACCTGTTGCCCAGAACAATGGAACCCAGCTTGCTTCTTCCCAACAGCGTCACCCCAGTTCAGAGCAAAACTAAACAGACAATATACCAGGCAATGAGAGGGGAGAGGAAGAGTCTGCTATGCTAGGATGAAGAGGATTCTCAGGCCTGCTTATAGTTGTACCAGTTGTTCATGACAGTTAGTCCAGAATGGATGTAGAAGACTTCTCCTTCCAGCTGGTGTGTGTGTGTGTGTGTGTGTGTGTGTGTGTGTGTGTGTGTGTGTGTGTGTGTGTGCTGTGTTAGCCTAGTGTGTGCTTCCTAGGATGCCTTTTCTTAACCATATACATCCCTTGGGACAATTTCTGTACATGGATTATTAGCATCTACCTGCCTGACTGTCCTTCCTGGGTACTGCTCTTCACTCCTCACCAGTGTGGGAAGGAAGTGGAGAGCAGAGTCTGGCTGAAGGATACCACACCTTCCAGATCCCCTGCAGGGCCCCTGGGAAGGAGAGCAGGCTTTGGCCATGGCTCATTTATTCTTCTCTATACCCTTGGAAGCTGACTTTGGCCACTTATGCCCAAGGAAAACAAATACCATCTTGGTTGGGTGGGCAGGGAAAACTTCAGATATTTGAATTTATTGCTTTAGAATTGTGAAACCAGCATTTTTTTTCCCACAAACCTAAATTATGCTGTCTTCTTTCCTCCCTCCCTTTAATGTGCTTTGTCCTAAAGGTACTCCATTCGCCATTCCATAAGTATGCCTGCCATGAGGTAATGTGTACAAAATATTCACATCATATTAATGCAGAATGTATTGAAGCATTTCTTTATTTTTACTTGTGAGTTCCTTCCCGTATCACTTTATCCAAAAGGAATTAGCTGAAGCATCGTGTTATGCCTCAAATTTCCTTCTGGCTATCTTCAGGAGGGAAGGGGGCCCCTCTCGACGTGGGCTTTTGACCAACACATGTCCTTAAATCCATCCCCTCCTGAAGCCAGAAACAAGGACTTAACCTATATATTTCTCCATTTCCTTCCTGCACATTATAAAGAAATAAGACCTGCCTTGAGTCCAAAACAAAGCAGGATATTTGAAGCATTAACAGGAGGCCCAGAACATTCTAAACACATTTGCATAATTAAATGGAAATGTAGGAGGGAAAAAGAGAGAGCGAGAGAATGGGAGACTAACAGGGTGACATTCCTGTGAAAGATATCCTTAAGATTCTGAATGAGTTGACTGCTGAAAGTTCAACGATGACAGACCTCTGCAATCCTGGATAGATTACTAGAGAGAAAAACATCCAAGTTCAAGGTTACATGGTTTAGTGATACAGTATGATTTAAAAAAAAAAAATTCCTAGTGGCAATGGTCTGGAGGCATGGATGTTCATACAGGAACAAGAAGAGGCAGGCTGTAGCACAGTTCTGCCAAAGCTCAATGTTACAGCCATGCTAAAACAGTTTGATATCAGTTGCACTGTACTGAAAAAAAAAGAGGTTGGAATCAGATTTGCTGTTCTTCCCATAGTATTCCTGGGGTGGGTGGGTGGGGATGCTCCAGCAGCCTGTGAGATAAAGAACATATCGGGCATCTGGAACCTTCCCAAACTTCAGTCAGAATTTGCTTCTCCTTTGCTTCGTAGTATACGTTTATGATGAAAAGTCATTGCAGAGGGAATTCAGTTATTTTACATAGTAGCGAAGATGGGAACCAAATTCTTCCTAGGGTCATTTGCAGTACCAAGAGTTTATAGTTGTACATGATGTAATTAAATTTGATTAAACAGCCCTCCCTGTTCTTTAGCATACATTCTAGAGTAATTTAATTAGAGGAATGTTTATTCTTTTATGCCTGCTGAAGTCTCTTCTTCACTGGGGATATTTGCTCAATTAGTTGGCTGGGAAATTTAACCACAGTGTTTGGTTTTCTATATTTGGTAGAAACAGGATTGCTTAGTTCATCTTCAAATGAATTGTTACCAGCTCCCATAAGACACCCAGACTGGCTAGTGCAACTCAAGGCCTGTAGCTCCTTGACGGACTAAGTTTAAATCTGGGTGTTCAAAGAAGGATTAGACAAAGTGAACAAAATTTTACTCTTTGAATCAGAAATCCATCTTGTGGCCTGTAGGTCAAGGACAATCTCATGAACTTCCTGAAGTTAATTTAGAAAGTTAAGTTTGCTAATCTAACCTATGTCCACAAAACATCCATCGTATCTGTCTCTCTACTCTAGGCCTACATAACTGATGTAAGCAGGCTCAGCCAAATATAGCCTAAAGAGAATATGAAGTGCCATCGTATATAATTTGGAGTAATACACATGTAATTTCACCACACAAGAGTATTGTGAGGGATGACTCCCAGGACATGACTAATGTTTGAGTCATGTGCACCACATAAGGCTATGTCCTGCAGCCTGAATGGCAGTACCTTGCTGGGGACCGTCAGAGTTGCATGAACAATCCTAAATCAATCCAAAGACTTGGAGAATACATCTTGGATGTCAGTTGCTTCTTGATCATCCTAAACCATGGCCCACACCTTATAGCCAGACCCAGATATTGTAACCACATGCCCTTATGAAGGTTCTCCAAGCTGCTCCTCTTATTTTATTGTCCTTTGTGCTCAAGGAAGAACAAGTAGTTTATCAAGTATGATAAAATTTAATTGAAATATTTGATTTGAGTGTAATGGCAATTATTTCTGAAATGTGACATGCAAACTTTAAGACATACCTTTTAGTTGAGCTTCTATTTCTTTAATTGCATTTAAAGATATGATGTGTAATGCAATGATATTTTTTTGTGGCCAAATCTAACAAAGAGAGCGCCAAACGACTTATTGCCACAGCACAGTAGATAGATGATATAACACAATATTTGAGTCATAAATAAAATGCCAGTGAGGTAGAGAGGTTCCATCTCCTAAGCAGGTGGAAAACTAAAGCATGCAGCTAATAAAGAAACAATTTAGAGAGGGAATGAGGAGGGTATTCAGTTTAAAATAATGAGAACATCAACTTTCAAAAACACCACTTTCTGGGATTTTTCAACATCGTTATTTTTTTAAGGTATAGAAAGAGAAAAATCAGGAACATTTTCCCCTCCTTTAGCTATTTCTTGTCTGTCTTATCTCATAATTATTAAAAAAAAAAAACTTTAACTTTCCAAGTAGGAAAATTTATGCATGACATTTCAACAGATTTCTGCTATTCACTAAAATAAGCAAGCAAGCAAACAAACAAACAAACAAAAAAATGAGTTAAGAAGGGAACTGTTGTAGAAAACAATAAATTAACAAATGCAAAATTAGCTGTCAGTCCACTGACTAGTTAAAGTGAGTCGGGGAGGAGGGTGGAATTATTACCGTTGGGTCATTGCCATGTGCTGTGTCATTCATTGCACAGGCAAGCATCTGAACATTGTACTTAGATGCATTCTATGGCTATGTTTCTGCATCTACCTGAGCAGAAGTAAAGCACATCGTAAGATAGAGTTGGTGCAGGCAGCAAGCTGACAGCCAGCTCTGGTGCAGAGGTGATATTTGCAAACAAGAACTGAAAACCAAACAACATGGTTGCTAAGACACTAGGCCTTTAGAGCTGACCTCTCTTTCTTTATTTTAGGAACTCTCCTACTTTCAAATCATTTGAGGAGAGGGTTGAGACAACTGTCACAAGCCTCAAGGTACAGATGAAGTGAATTGTGTATGATTGGGTCCATTTCCTGAGGACAGCCTAGTCAATAACAGCCTTAGTACTGAAGGCAAGGCCTGAGTAACTAGGAAGGCAGTCATGCATAAGGACAAACCTTTTCCTCCCATAGAAACCTATGGATAACATCAGCAGTGAAGAGTAATTCCTGCCTTGTCATAGGTGATAAACCCCTCAGAGATAGATTGCTTATGGAAGTGGATTGGGTTTTCATTCACCACTTAATTTTATAACATTATCCCCGGAAAAAGGTATATATGAGAGGATCATGGATGGAAAATGAATGAAGTTTGTATAATAGCTCACAGATCTTCTGGCTTGGACATGAATTAGCAAAACCAAACTGGGTTGTTGTGTATCACAATGGCATCTACCTCCATCAGCCCCCGAGACTCTTAATTAAATTTACATACTGACCACAACATAATACGGTTATCACAGTGGGAAAAATTAAGCAATGCCATGAAATGCATTGTTTTTCTAGTAGTGCATTTGATCCCGTGGTACCAACTGAAATTATGCCCATTCCATGCATCGATTGTCCAAGCACAGGTGTTAATCTTTGGAGATGGGCGTGGAGGAAGGAGCAGGCAAAAACTGCTAGGTCTAGAGTTTAAAGGCACGAATGTAAAACCGGAACATCAATTACTAAGAGAATCTCTTGGAAGATGCCACCCACATAAACATGCAGTCACATCTTTGTATAATTACTATGTTATATTCCTATGTTTTACCATATCTTATATTCCTATATTTTACTATTACTGGGATCTGTATATCAAAATGGTAATGATTTAGGTACCTCCAGATGCTCAGCACATCAGTCACATATGTGCCACATGCTAGTGTCTGCCAGCACATAAGTTATTCCTAACTACAGGCTTCAGGTGCTTCCGGTGATCTGGAAGTGTCTTCCCTAATACAGGGTCTTTCACTAGGTCTACTTTCTTAAGTTCATGATCAGGTTTTGAAGGCTCCAAAAGGAAATTGTCACTCAGTGTTTACTATGCCTTCATTGGCTTCTTCACCCCTCAGCATTGTCTAACACTTGCCTACTTTTTCTCTTTCTGGGGGTGTTGTAAGAATTAGTAGGAGGCATTAGGTTGTCCTGTAAAGTAGGGCATTAAAAAAAAAAACTAAAATGAGCAACAGACTGTGTTGTGTGCCTATATCTCCCTATTTATTTGTATCAAAATAAAAGGCTCAAAAACCCCAAGTCAGTTTCTTAACTCTTGGTTTTCAGCCTCACATCAGCTCATGAGTTCAGGTTCTGTTGCTTGTTAGAGGAGGTCTGAGGTAGATGAAGCTGTAGTTTTTAGTCTTCTTTTGAAGGAGGAGCTACGAAAAAGCCAAGGAAGAGATAAAGAACAGTCTATTTTCATTTGCTTTTAGGAGACAGGGAAGATCATGGTTCCCATGCAGTGAATGTTGGAGTCACAATCTTAGCCTCCTCTTCTTTCCTCCTTGTGGAGCCAAAAGGCATACAGCTAACCTCCTCCTTCAGATCGGCACTTAACCGTACAGCCTGTCAGAGGCCAGACTTGTGGAAACCTCTGTGCTTGTGCAACTGGCCATTGCTTTAACAAGACCCACATCCCACACAGCTGCTATCTCACAGCCAAGGCCTAATCCAATTTTCCTGCCTACGTAGGCAACAGAGAACAGCTTATCATCAGGTGTTCTTTATCAATAGAAACTTCATTTGCTCTCTGCTGCTCAGGCCAAATAGCAGATATATTAAAGCCTCCTTTTCTATATAGCTTACTTGCAAGAGTTTGCTTTTGTGTTCTAAACCTCCTAAGCTTCCATTTCAGGCTCCACTTATGGGCCCTGGGGCTGCTTTCTCTGGAGGCACATAGCTCAATAAGGAAGAATGGATGCTTCCTTATTGCATTTCCAGGCACAAGCTCCATTTTAAGCTTGGTCTTTTAAGCCCCTTTCAGGCACTCAAGATCATGTTTATGGTCTTTGGAGAAAAAAAAAATCTATTCTGCTGTGAAGTGATACCATCCCCACGAGCAATCTGACAATCCCCACAGGGCATTGTTCCAAGCCAGTTTTTCTCCTTTTACATCCAGTTCGACGAACAGTTTGATACTCCATGGTAAACTTCCCAGCTCATCCTAATCATACAGAAGTTAGCTCTGCCAGGGTACTGGCAATGTAGTACTTGAGGGCACATCGTCTGGTGTCAGCTGTACAGCCAGCCAGCTCTCCCATCCAACAAAGATAGATGCAGAGCCAGTACCTCTGACGGCACATTCTGTGTGGTTCAGCCACGTTCCACCTCATCACAAACAGCGACGTCCTGCCGCCCACTCTTCCACCCTGTGGTGGAGACTACCGTCTTAGTGCAGCCACTCTGATTGCAGACCCATTACCGTGTCTGCAAAAACTGAGACGGTTTTTTGACGCTTTGTGCTCTCCTTGACAGTTATTTGGAGAGATTAAGGGCCCCACTCTGCAGTTCAAATAAAACTGTCTGCAAAAAACAACTAAAATATTGTGAAGAGAAGGGTGCAAAACAGACTTACTGTCTGTGTCTTCGCTTAAGCAAAAAATTACAGTCTGCCACCTGAAGCACAGCAGTATGCAGACAGAGAACACGCCTGGTTAGGAAATCTCTGCAGCCCACTTGTTTGCCCAACTGATTTCCTGAAAAGTGCCTTTTTATATTACTCTGTTGGTTTGAAGGAAAAAAAAAAAAAACTAGATGAAGAAAAGTCTAAGAGGAAACAGCAATCATCAGAATTCACCTGCCGCAATACTGTGTGATTTCCATTATTAAACAGAAGCTAGAAGAGAATTAGATTTTCGTTTAGTTTAGTTTAGTTTAGTTTAGTTTAGTTTAGTTTAGTTTAGTTTAGTTTTGTTTTGTTTTGTTTTGTTTTGTTTTGTTTTGTTTTTTCAGACACAGTCTCACTATGTAGCCTGGGCTGTCCTGGAACTCACTCTGTGAACCAGCCTTACTTCAAACTCACAGAGACCCACTGCCTCAGCCTCCTGGGTTCTGGGACTGAAGGTGTGTGCTAGTAGGCCTGGTGAGAATTCAAATTTTTAAAACCCAGAAGCAGCTGGAACCCTTAACACAGTCGATTACATTAAATTAATCCTCCTTGATTCTCTCAGGAAAGAAACAGCGGAGCAGAGATCACAGAGCTGACAGCATCGCTGTCTACCCTACTTCTTTCCAGTCTTAAGATCACAGATTTGCAGCTGGAGGTTTTGGACAGAGGTCCACTGTGAGCCAGATTGTCACCCTTTTCTTTTCTTTTCTTTTCTTTTCTTTTCTTTTCTTTTCTTTTCTTTTCTTTTCTTTT